AGAGAGAGAGAGAGAGAGAGAGAGAGAGAGAGAGAGAGAGAGAGAGATCCTGACTTTCTTTCTTCTTTTTTTCTTTCTTCTACTTTATGTATGAAATTGCCAAAAGTCATCAGCTTTTGGCCCTAGAATAGCAAGAGAGAGTTAAATTCCCAGAAGTCATCAGCTTTTGGATCCAGAACAGTGAGAGTTAAATTGCCAGAACAGTAAGAGAGAGTTAAAGGCCAGAGGTCGTCAGTCTTGGGTCTTCCTCTGAAGCTGTGTGCCACCTCAGTACCTGACCCTGTCAGGGCTGCACCCCACCCCTACTCCCACAGCACTAAGCGAGTTCTATTTTTATGTTTTAAAAAAAATTTTAAAAAGTTCTAATACAAAATGAAGAAAATACATAGAAAGTAACCCCTGGTGGAAACCCAGCTAAATGCAAGAGACCCTTTGTAAAGAGAATATAAAATACCCCAAGCCCCTTCTGCAGGCAGGCAGGACATGTTCCCTCTGCCTCTGCTACCCTCTCAGCCATCCTCCACCTCCCCACTATGTCGCCCTTTGTCAATCCTTTTAAGAAATAAAACCCCTGCTCTGGTGACAGAACCATTGCTCCTTCTCCATTCCCACTGGAGAGCTCACTGGTGTCCAGTTTGGCCATCTGCTGCACGTAGAAGCCAATGTTCTCACTGTCAGATATCTGCAAGTACAGATTCTTCAGCAAGGACACGCTCAAGTTGTTGAAGTGTGCCGAGATGGTCTTGAGGGCCACCTGGGCGGCCATCTGTTTGGGAAACCAGTTCCTGCTACTGGGAAAAGGTAGGAAGGCTACAGACTTAAGCTTCTTATCCTCGGCTGTGCACAGGCAGTTGTTGATGGTCTCCTCCAGTTGTTCTTCACATTTGTGGAAGCCCCACTGGTAGATGTGACAGTGGATGACAAATTTGTCTGTGAGTCCACTGGACTAGCTAATGGCCACTTCGGCAACTTTCAAAGGGCCTTGGGATTTGCAAAGTTCCTTCACTGTTTCCAAGAGCTTTTTATTGTCTCCAAGAACTCTTTCCCTCCACCCTTTTCCTATCTCTTCTTTGAGGTTGATTTCAGCTGTGGTTGGGTAGCCAATGCCCTCCACCCTCATGAAGCCAATATGGCTGATGTCACTTAGGGTCAGGGATAGCCTCTGCCCCAAAACAAGGCTCTTTGAAGACAGGTAAAGCCATCTCCCACCCCCGTCTTCTGAAGTGGTTATCTGATTTTCTTTCTTTGTCGCTATAAGTTGGCTTGGACATCTTAGACATCCATAGCTTGGTGGCCTTGGATTTCTTACTCCCTTTCTTGCCTTCTTTTCCCTGGCAACTGGGGAGAGAATCATTTCTGACTTGCCTTTGGTCCCTCACTTTTTGGCCAGCCGTTCAGTGTGACAGGACACCCTCACTAGCAATGATCACCCCTTTCAGCAGTTGGTTGAGTTCCTCTTCTTTGTCAATGGCCAGCAGGATGTGTCTGGGAGATAGTGAACCTTCTTCTTGTCCCTCAGAGCATTCCAAGCCAATTCTAGGATTTCTGCTGCCAGGTTCTCAATGATGGCAGCTTCGTGCGTAGAGAGGGTGTACTTTTTTTTCAGGTACCGCATCAACAGCCCTACTAAAAAGACAACTCTGGCCCTGATTGACCCAGACAGCTTGGACAATTTCTTCTTCTTGCTCCAGCCTGACATCTTGCCTCAGTTTCCCCCTCAGCTTGCTAACACGGTGGCCTCCTGGCACTTACACAGTAATTCAAAGCTTTCATCCATCATGGCAGTGAAACATGGAGGCATGCAGGCTGACAAGGCACTGGAAAGGTCACTGAAAGTTCTATATCTGGATTGGCAGGGAGCAGGAAGTGCTAGGTGATGCTTCTTGAGTGTCGAAATTAGAAGTGCACACAGCTACACCTGGATCTTAAACAACAAAATGTTTTTTATTATGCCCGGGAGGATATTGCATATGACAAGAACACTAACACTTGAGCATGCTCCAACCTCTAAGAGTTGCATTTATCTTTTAAGCTAGGGGTTCACTCTATAGCCATGCTGGACTCTAACAGTTAATCATCCAACCTGGTTTCCTAGGTGCTGGGAATACAGGTAGACAGGGAAGAACATCAGGAAGTGCTGTGTTCTGGATTTGACTGTTGTGCCAATACACAGGACTTCCCTCAGAACCAAACGACTGCTATCTTGAGGCGTTCAGCTGTGCTTGTTTGCAAAAGATCATCCAGCTGGGCACGATGTCTCTGTGTATGTTCTCTCATTGGGGGGGGGGTAGTTATGAACCCCTCACCTGAGTTAGCTGAGGCTGGTCTTGAACTCAACTAGACATAGGATTTCATATAGAGAGATACCATGAGCTGGCATGTGTTAGGTATGTGCCCTGCTGTCTGAGTCTGATGTGCTCAGTACATTTTAGCTATGGCTTTTAGCTAGCTGTATCTGTGCAGAACACTCCTCAAAAGAGGTCGCCATCAAGGCCCTCCTCCATGTAAGCGCATGCCGATCCCCCAGTAAGTGAACTTCCTGTCTCTTGAGTCCAGGGTGGCGTTGTGATGTTCCTTACCAACCAAGTGTAGCAGAGGTGATGCCCTCTCCTTAAAGAATCTTGTCAACTCCCCCTTGCTCCCTAGTGAAACTGTTTACCTCTCTGGAAGAAAATCAGACTAGCTGGTGGGGAGTGCCGCTCTGGGCTGCACCGTGAGGTGCTATCTCCAAGATCTAAAGAGAAGCTACCTGAGGTAGGTCAGGCCTAAAATCTCAGCACTTGGGGGTGCGGGGGTCAGAAGTTCAAGGCCAGCCTTAGCTACATAGTAAGTTCCAGGCTACCCTCCAAAATGTGAGACCTTGGTTTAAAAAAAAAAAAATCAACCAGCCATGCTTAAACAAACAAAAACAAAAAAAACCAAAAAAACAAAAAACAAAACCAAGCACTCACAGGGTCAAAGTCACCCAGCTGCCAATCCTCCTCTGCCGCACCGTGAATCAAAACAAACCCTCCTCGCCTACGTCGCTCCGCGCAGGTATTTTTGTCTCTGCAACAAGGGAAACACCCAAAATGCTACTAAAGAGACGAGACAGAACCAAAGAGAAGGCCACATGGAGACGTGCTGAGGTTTGTGACAGAAGCCATGTCAGTCTTTCAGTTGAACGCAAGTGTAGCTGAATTCGGAGAGGGCATGAGTTGGGCGTGGCGCTCAGTGTCGAGTACTTGTGTGGCATTCAGGAAGCCCTGTTTCTCCAGCATCACTTAAGCTGGATTCAATGATGTACACCTATACTTCCAGCAACCGGGAGATGGGGGAAGAAGGACCAGAAGTTCAAGGTCACATGGCCACATAGCAAGTTTAGGCCCAGCCTAGGGTACATGAAGCACTCCAAAAGAAAAAATAAAAACAAATAAACAAATAAATAAATAAACAGAAGAAGAAAAAAGAGAGAGACCGTGTAAGAAAACCCGAAGAGCCTCTCAACTAAGTCCACAGTCAGCCATGAAAAGTCATTGTTATCTAGATATCTAAATTGATAAAGCCCTCCTCATTTTCTCATTCTCTCTCTGTCTCTCTCTCTCTCTCAAAATAACTGACAGAACAAGTGGAGAGAAACTCATCAAAACTATGGGACAACTGAGTAAGCACTGATTCATTTATCCTTATACAATGCTCAAGCCAACAATCGCCATGATGTTCTCAAAGGCACACGGAACGGGAGCCAAAACAAGGTTCTCAGCAATAAATCAAATCTCAGTTATATGAAAAGGATTTTACTCATACAACTCTCTGGCCCTGAAAGAAAAAAAAGGGGAAATCAACAATAAAAGAACGGAGACGGGGGCCTTGATGGAATGGGCGTGGCTTTGCTGGGGTGGGTGTGGCCTTGATGGAATAGGCGTGGCTTTGTCGGAGTGGGCGTGGCCTTGTTGGAGAAAGTGTGTCACTGCAGGTGGCCTTCGAGGTTTCAAGCAGCGTTCAAGCCAGGCTCAGTATCTCTCTCCTCCTGCTACCTGAAGATCCAGATGTTGAACTCTCAGCTCCTTCTCCAGAACCACATCTGCCTGCATGCTGCCATGCTCTCCGCCATGATGATGAAACTATAAGCAAGCTCCAATTAAATGCTTTCCTTCATAAGAGCTGCTGTGGTTGTGTCTCTTCACGATAGAAAACTGACAAAAATAAGGTACATCCAACCAGCCCCGGGTTGAAACTAAAAAATCAGAAAAGAAATCAGAAAGTTTTTTTGGGAAGATGAAAATGAAAACACAGCACATCTCAATATGAGTGACTAAAGCTACGCTGATGGGATCTAAACGGTCTCAGCCACTGTTCTGTTGCTGCGAAGAGACACCATCACCACAAATTTATGCAACTATCACCACAATAAGTGTAAGACTTACAGTGTTGGAAGCTAAGCTGAGCTACAGGACCATCACTGCAGACAGAGCCCATGGAAAAACTCGGCCCTGCCTGTAGTCCTATAGGGTGCAATCTGAAACATGACCACAAGATGGCAGCCTCTGCCTACAGATGCTACAAACCAAGCACGTGGCTAGTTTAAGGAAAGATAAACTTCCCTAAGATTAACCTCCTGAGAGTTGGCGTTTAGTGCTGAGCGCGCAGCTCCTAACGGAGCTAGCCCTCTTCACCTACTAAAGCGGCACACATTCCTATCCCCACTCACTCAGAAGCCCTGCTAATCGTAATACTTCTTTAAGATTTATTTTTAATTATGTGGGTATGGGTGTAGGCGTATGTATGCACATGAACACGAGGTGCCTTCGGAGGCCAGAGGAGGGCATCATATTCCTTAGGGCTAGGATTATAGAAGGTTGTGACTGGACTAATGTGGGTACAGAGAGCAGAACTCCTGTCCTCTCCAAGAGCAGCAAGCTTCTCCAGCCCCTATAGTATGCTAAACAGGTATACAAATATGGCTGTCCCTGTTTTGGCGCTGAGGATCCAACCCTGAGTTCTTAGCGCATTCTTAGCGCTGCTCCAACGCTGAGCTACAACCTCAGTTCCGAGGGTAGCTATCTGAAGCACATGCCACACCACACCCAGGCTGTCCTCACTGAGAAAGGGGTAAACACTGGCAAATGCCAAAGTTCACACTGGCTCTGTCTCTTCATCTTACCTCATATTCTAAACATAGGAGTAACCAGACATGATGGCTGGCACACACCTGTAGTCCCACCTACCCTAGGAGGCCGAGATAGGAAGGTCACAAATTCAAAACCAGCCCGGACAGTGAGACCCTGCCTCAGAATAAAATTTGTGATACAGCATAGAAATGTACCTCAGTAGTAGGATCTAGCCAATCACGTGTGAGGTCTCAGTTCAACCCCAGGCATTACATAAAGGAAAAGCCATGGGGGTTAGGGGGTGGGGGTATTGTACATTAAGCAACACTTTCCTGTGTCAACCAGAGTGCCAAGGGGCAGGGTAGAGCCCGTGTGCCCAGGAGACACTAGTGAGTGTGGAGGTGGTGTGTACTCGGCCCTCCTCAGCCCCAGCACTTTAGTCCTGTCTCTTCAGGAACTAACCCTCAGTATTCCTTCTTTACATGCCGTTGTCATTCCAGGCACTAGGAAAACAGCTGAGCCCAAGTTCACACAATCCTAAGCCCTTTCTACAGTCCTGGCAAATTCATATCCACATTCTCTCTCCAGACAGGGAGGGTATCATGTAGTCCAGGCTGGCCTTAAACTCACAATGTTTCCAAAGATAATCCTGAACTGCTAACCCTTCTGCTGCTACCTCCCAAGTGCTGAGATCACAAGGGCATGTCGCCATCTTGGCCTGTCCCGATATTTCCACAGGACTGGAAAAACAGGAATATCTAGTTCTCTGCAAAGAGCTGGGAGTCGCGTTGTGATTTGTTAGACTGAGATCCTGGTCATTCTAAGTAGCCAGATCTCACAGCCAGAGGTAACCTAGTCATGATCCCCCACCTTTCTCTCCTCTTTTTCTTCCTTTTCCTCTTCCCCTCCACACCCTCTCTCTTTCCTCCCTCCCTCCCTTTTTCTCTCTCTATAAAGAGTTAAGAAGCCATACAGGCTGTGGTTTTACAGCATTTATGGTCTTGCTCCTTACCTGCCTCTTCCACACCTCTCCTCACATCAGGTGATCCAAACTAAATCACACGGTCTTCTCACCACCCCATAGACGGATATTTTCCTTTATTTGGAAGTTTTCTCTGAATGCTCTTCCTCCAGGGCTCTACCATCATTCTGCAGGTGGCAGCATGCTCTCTCTGTCTCTCTCTGTGTTTCTATGTCTCTGTCTGTGTCTATCTCTTCTCTGTCTTTGTCTCTGCCTCTCTCTGCCTCCCTCCGTCCCAGCCTCTCTCTCTCTCTCTCTCTCTCTCTCTCTCTCTCTCTCTCCCTCTCTCCCTCTCTCCCTCTCTCCCTCTCCCTCTCTCCCTCTCTCCCTCTCTCCCTCTCCCTCTCTCTCTCAGCTATTCCTCTTAATTATGTCCCTACCCAAGTTTTAAAGGAAAAACCTCTCGCTCCCTTTAAAACCCACCACATTGCCTCTGGTATGATGCCCTGTCCCCTTGGTAATCCCCCCCACACACCTTAAAGTTCAATCATGATTCCCATGGTCATGATGTCTTCTCTCTCCTAATAAAGCTCATTCCAGAAGGGCCATTTTGTGTCAGCCCCTCCCTCCTGATACAACCGCCACCACTCTCTTCCTTCTAACAGTTTCTCCCTCCTACAAACTCGGAGAGTGTTACAAATCAGAGAGCAGGAGGTCAGCTTGGGAAAACAGCTGCCAAGAAATAATCTCCTTTTGAATGAAGTATGGCAGGAGAGAGGACCTTGTGACCAGAGAAGGATGGCAAACAGACCTGGGAGTAAAATCGTCTCAACAACATTAGGAGAGAGCTGGTGAGATGGCTCAGTGGTTAAGAGCACTGACTGCTCTTCCAGAGGTCATACGTTCAAATCCCAGCAACCACATGGTGCCATCCATAATGAGATCTGATGCCACTCATATGAGCGGGAAGGGCCGGAGCGACTGGTGGGGCCTGGAGCGAGCAGAGGGCGGGTGCAGGAGCGAGTGGGGTTGGACCAAGGGGAAGGGGGGAAAAAAGAACATTAGGAAAGATAAAAATCATCACACGAGAGGCACGTGAGGGGAGCTTAATTAGAAAGTAACGGGGGTCCTGAAGAAAAGGTCTTCAAATCCCCTGAATAAGGCGGGGCGGGGTTTCCGCTTTCATGGTATTAGAGGGTTACCGGTAAGTTCCACACCACGTGACTTAGTCTGGCTTACCCTGTGTAATAAGGAGTCATGTTCTGGGTAGGTCATAAACGAATCTTAAAGCTCGAAGCAGGAGTCACTACTAGTGACTTCTTAAACTTTTGGTGGGTGGGGGAGGTCAAGGGTTTTGGGAGGACATGGCACTGCTTTCTGACAACGAGAAGTGCAGCTAGACAGTGTATGATCTCCCACAGTTGCCTTAAACAAAGAATTGTGCCAAATGCCAAGTGGATGTTTTTCACCAGAGACAAGTCTATTTAAAATGAAATGGAAGGTGAAGTAAAACCCCAGGGGATCCGGCTTACAGGTGTGGAAACTGTTTCTCCCCAAGATAGGCAGCCCCGACAAGGGCCCAAACTATTCCTGAGCCTCTCTCTGAGCCCCGCCCCGCCCCTTTCCCACTAGTTCATCACATAAGGATCCTGCAGTTGATATTAAAGGAACAGCATCTCCACATCCACCCCACAAAAGCTAAGGCCTAACTAAGCCAATAGCTCCAGAGGCAGTTCTATGGAGACGGTAGAAGAAAAGCAGCTACCGCCATTCCACCCCAGACACTGTGATACAAACAGATCCTGCATCTCAAAACAGCTTATCTAAGAAGAACAGCCAACTTCTCCCAACTAAGGAAAAGGAACTAAGGATTCCTAAGGAAACCAGTTCCCTTCTCCATCCTCAGCTACAAAAACACCAGCTTAGAGCCTGTAACCTGCGCTCCAGCTCTGGAGGCCCTGTTGCTGGGTCCTGCACCCTGATCACAGTGTGTGCCGGCTCATCTCGACAGGTCACATCTCAGGTTAAATAAAGCTCCAGCTGTCGACGTTGTGTCAACTCTCATTCTTTATTTCTTCCTACAAACTTAATTCTCACAGACTTCTCACCAATGGGATGAGACATAATCACCACCTACACCAGGGATAAATGACACAGGGCATTTTTGGCTGAGGGTGTGCTCACTAGGTGAGTTTAAATGCTGATACACCCTTTTTGCAGAGAAAGAAAGAAAGAAAGAAAGAAAGAAAGAAAGAAAGAAAGAAAGAAAGAAGGAAAGGAAGGAAGAAAAGAAGAAAAGAAAAGAAATTGCCTGGCTGAACCACTGTTGCTTTTGTTCCGATGTTCCTCTGGGGAACGCTGAGATCTTTCTTCTCCCAGCACAGGTGCTTCTTAACGGGCAAGGTGAGTGTCACACACCACAGACATTCCTTAAGTTCTACTCAGTAAAATGAAACGTGTGTTCTTAGTTTACAGACACTCAGACCCAGGGCTGGAGAGATGGCTCCGTGGTTAAAAACACTGCCTCCTTTCACAAGTGTGCTAAGTTTGGTTCCCAGAGCTCACATGACAGTTCACGACCAGCTCTAAGGGATCTGACACCGCATTCTGGGCCCCGTCCAAACATCCATTCATGCAGACAAACCCCTCAGACACAGAAAATAAAATAAGAGCAAAGGCAACTCTGATGTAGATTTCGAGTTGTTTGGTTTTTTGTTGTGTTGTTGTTGTTTTATAAGCATGACCGCCATACCAGCAAATCAGCATGCGCTTATACTGAGTTAATAAAAGAATAAAGTTCTTTTAAAATAAACTCTGTGTTCTTAGTTTAATGGAATGATAAGGAAAGGTGAAACTTACCCAGCTCAGAGGGCCCCTCCCCATTCTGTGTCAGGAGCAGATAATCAACACTACAGGAGACTGACTCTGCTCCAGGCGAAATCTCCCAGGCCTTTGGAGCAGCCAAAAAAGGCTGCATTTAAAAAGTGTACCGATCCATGTTCTGTCGCTATGACAAAATATCTGAGAAAAACAACTTGCAACAGCAGCGTTTATTTTGGCTCATGGTTTCCGGGTTTCCGGGCATGCTCACTTGAATCCCTTGTTGCAGCGGCAGCAGCAGCGAGGACAGAAGGGTAGCTTCCTGCTGCTGTATGCGGTGGCCTTAGGAACTCGCCTAGTATTTCAGAGACCTCAGCTTTGGCTACATCACAGAAAAGGACTTCAGGATAAGCCAGAGCAAAGCATAGTTGGAGTTTATTAAAAGTAAAAAGAAAGGTATTCAGGGGGAACTAGGGGACTATCTTAATAGGTAACGTACCTGCTGGGCAAGCCTGAAGACGTGAGTTCAGACCCCCAGCTCATATGCAGAAGCCAGGCACCGTGGCTCACCTATAACCTAGTGCTGGAAGGGCAGAGACAGACAGATTCCCTGAGTGTCCTAGCCAGCCAGCCTAGCTTCAGACCCAGTGAGAAACCCTGTCTCGAAAATTCAGGTGGCGATCAACAGAAAAGGCTAGCCAACATTTTCCTCTGGTCTCCCACACATGTGCATGTATACACATATACCAGAGAGGAGATGGAGGGGGAGAAGGAGAGAGGGAGGAGGAGGAAGAGGGAGGGAGAGCGAACAGGAGAAGGGAGAAAGGGTGGGGCAGGTATGCGAAG